CGTGCCGGGCGCAGCCAGCGGGGCCGGCCCTGCGCGGCCGGGGGGCGGCGGGCGCTGCGATTGGCCAGGCGGGTCACGTGGGGCGGGGGCTGCGGCCGCCACAGTAAACATGGAGTCGATCTTCCACGAGCGGGTGAGTGAGGGAGCGAGTTGCAGAATGCGGGAGGAGCGGGCGGGTCTCGCTACCCGCCCGCCTTGGCTATAGCGCTGTTGGTTGTGGCCGTCTGGGCCGCCGAGACGGGGGAGGTTCGCAAGCTGTCTTTGAGGAGCTGCTGGGGCGGTGCCTGGGCCTCCCGTCCCCGCGCTGAGCGCGGGGCACCCCCCGGAGCCCCCGGGGTGCGCTCGGGCTATGTCGGGCCTGGCCGCGCTGTCCCTCCCTGGCATCTCTCCAGCCTTTGGCAGTGGTTTGTTCTCTGCCTCGGGGGAGAGCCGGGGCCCCCGCGCGACGGTGCCTGTGCCTATGGCCCGTCCCAGCTGGACGCTGCCAGCCCTGCAGGGAAAGGAGAGCCAGGGCTGAGCCTCGGCGTCCGCTTTAGCACAGGGACTGTGTTCTGGGGACTGCAGATACAGTCCCCAAGTGCGGGGCGGTGTAGGCTGCAGCTACTTGTGTTTCTTGAGAGAGAGCTCGCATGGCAGAGAAATGAGTACGAGGATGAGCAGCGGCCGGCAGGGCTGTCCCTGTGCTCGCAGAGCCATCCGTCCCCGAGCCTGGCTTGGCTGTGGTTGTTAATGAGCATGGAGTGGGACAGCCGCTAGAGAAATGGCAGTTCATGCAGTGTGCTTCTGTGTGCCGAACAGTATTTCCTGTTCTGGAGGACAAATGCTGCTGTGAAATGCTGTGATTTATCCAGCTTCACAAATATGACCAATTTCTGTTTTAATGCTGTTCAAATTGTAGTTGAATTTTTTCTTGCACTTTGCCAGTGTCTCTTCCACTTTATTGTGTTAATCTTAATACTAGTTCTGTTACTTTGTTTTGTTATGTAGGATTGGTTTCCTTAAGAAGTCAAGTAAAGTAGCTGTGTGCCTTCCTTTAAAAAATTCCTGTTCTGAAATCCATAAAAACTGGGGAGTAGGTTTGGGTTTCAAAATTTGGCAAGTGTTGTGGTGTTAAGTAGCTGCTGTTCAGAGGGTGAGTGTTGGATTTCAGCCGTGATGGCCTCTGCTTCAGTGACCTTCAGTCTGGCTTTGAAAACAGTTTAACAAAATGTATTCTTTTCTTATGTGGCCTAGCTTATCACAGTATGAATTAACTTTTTATTACTACAAAGTTTCCTTTTAGTGAAATTAGTATGTAAACATGTAATACAATTAATTTTCAGTGGTATTTTACTATCTCTCCGTTTCTAAATCAGTTTCATGTTATTCTAATGGGGAAGCCTGTGATTGTTGAGCAGGTTCTTCTGTTACAGTTTCGTCATATGACCAGCAGCAGGGATGTGGTCCCAGAGGGAGAGAAGCTGGTGTTTAGTCTTGAGCTTCTTGTGCAGGAAGGGCACGAGCTGGAGGCGGCTTCCGGATTCCACAGAAGCCTGGCTGTACAGACAGTGGAGCTTTAGTAACTCACTGCTCAACTGAGTGATGAAGCCATAGGAAGATTCTGGAGTAAAGGGAACTTTCGAGGTTTCAGCTGTAAGGGAGATCATGGGAGAGTTCTACATATGATTTGTATGATGCTTTTATGGAATTTTAAAGAATATTGCTCAAAGGCATGTTCTTGTATTCTTAGTTTCTGTGGGTCTGGCTTGAGGGAAGGGTGTTCTGTTTTGTTTTGAGGGGTTTTGTTTTTAATGAAGAGCATGTGTAGGAGAGTTCTTAATTTAAATAAAAATGAAGAGTGATTAAAACAAAAGAGAAAAGCAGTTTTTTCAACTGATGTTACTTGTCTTGCACATGGAGTTACAGTTATTCGTAGAAAAGGGTTGCTTTTCATGGGAAGCTGCTTGTTGGTTTACCTTGTGTTTTGTTGTTTTTTTTTTTTTTTTTTAATGGGGCAGTATTTTATCTCATATATGAAAATGAGCCTGTCATGCATTCATTCAGATCTGAGATTTTTAAATTTGTGCTACAAAATCATGACTGACATTGTTAATTAGCTGTTTTAAAATTTGTGCTGACGTTTTAAAAGTCTTATAATTCTATTACATGTAATGTGCTGGACATGTAACAAAGTATCTGAACTGTTTATTTGAATCATCTATCAATTAAAAATATTTTCCTTCTTTAATATACTGAATTTAATTTTTTTTCTTGTTTCCTCATCATTGCTTTCAAGATTTTCAAACTAGTGGTATGACTTCATTTTATCTACTTCCTATATGTAAATTTCATGTGGAAAAGGAGCTTTATTGTTCCTCCAGCTCCTAATCACTTTCTCAGCAATAACGTGGAGAGCAGATTGTCATAGCCATACCTAGAAAAAAAGAAAATTTAAAAAATAATGAGAGTGTCTGTTATAGAAAATGTTTGTAGGGTACAAACATTTGTGGAATGTACAAATGAAGTAGAGATCTAAACTCTTTGATTTTTATGTATTGATGTTTTGGAAGAGGATAGAATGCATTGTTCTAATGGTTGCAGAGTCTCTGTGTGATTTGTTGGGTCATTAGCAATAGTTATGGTGTTTTCAAAAACAATTTTTACATTAAATTTATTTCCCTTAAGGAGATAAGGTAGTATGCATGTTGGGTTTTGTCCCATCAAGTTGATGGGAGGATTGTATTCTGTAGCTTGCAGTGTAATACATTGAAAGAATATATGGTATTCTGCATGAGTGGGGAGGGCAGGAAGTTTGCCAGAATGAAACATTTGAGTCATTTGACATAGTTTGCATTAATCTGGGGTGATTTTTTTTTCTTTTTCCATTTTTTTTCTCCCTTTCATTATTAGCAAGAAGGCTCATTGTGTGCTCAGCATTGTCTGAATAATTTGCTGCAAGGTGAATACTTCAGTCCTGTTGAGCTATCCTCTATTGCACAGCAACTGGATGAGGAAGAAAGGATGAGAATGGCAGAGGGAGGAGTATCTAGTGAAGAATACAGAACATTTTTACAGGTGAAATTATGTTCATTTGAGATTGCTTGATGTTGCCTGAAATGCAATATTGTCTGGCACAGACCTGCTATTCTTGCATAGCTAGACAAGGTTAATTTTCTAGTGCTAAAGATTTTAAATGTATAGGCCTTCTTATTCATGCATCTTAGATGTGTCATTTTCAAATGTTACTAGTACAGCTTTACAATAATTCTACAAAAAGCTACATTACCCTAATCTTATAAGTAGGAAGATCAGGCATGATGAGGAGGATCAGTGATTTTGTAAGCTGGTGTCAGATAGGAGCAGAAATTCCCATGTCTGTCTGCCCTTTAAGCACTGAACATCTCTAAAGGTTTGAGTTTTAAATTAAAATGCCTGTTTGGGGCATTGTAATTAGACTTACAGACAAGGACATAAGGCATTGCTTTAAGGATCTGCAGTTACATTTATTTTCACAACTCAATTATTTTTGACCTTTTATGCTTATACCATTTTTCCCTTTTCTCCCTTCCAACTTCACATTGAGCAGCAGCCTTCTGTAAATATGGATGATAGTGGATTCTTCTCAATTCAAGTAAGCACAGCTCTCTTCTGGCCATTTTCTATTTATGCAATATATGTTCTTTTATGTAATTTAAATGGCATTGAGCATTTCCATCTAGTTACCATTTTATGGGCTTAATGGGATTAAGTGCTGGACTTGCAAATGTTCAGAGTGTTTTCCTTTAAGAACAGTGACTTGCAGTTCTTCAGTTCATGGGCCCTCAAATACATAGGAGAACCACGGATTCAGGAACTGTGAAATGACACCTGCTGGCAATAAGCTTGAGTTCTAAGCGGTTTCTTGTGGGCACTTCAGGTGTAGACCTTGGCTCACACGTGAAAAAGCAGAATTCAGATTGCTTTCTCAAATTATAGATTGGAAAGCCCTTGGCAATGGTTACAGGGTTATCGCAGTGATCTGCAGATTTTTCTTGGGTGTTTTTGATTTTTTTTAAGGCCATAGGGGAAAAGTAATTAATACTGAATACTTAAACCAGACCAACAGCAAAAAAATTTTTTGAATACCAAATTGGGGCTTTTGTCTAGATTAGAGCTCTAGGCCTCTTTAGCTGTCTCTGAAGCTTTCAGTGGTACTTGTCAATGCTCCACACTCCCTCAAGAGCCTCGCTTCCTTATGGCCAAATGGGCTGGTTTGGTTTTTTTTTTAGCAAGAAACCATTAACGGTTTGGCTTTCCTGCTGTCTTTGGGCTGCTTCAGTAGCTGAAAAAAAATGCGTCCTTGTTCGACTTTTTTGTCCTGTCGGTGCTTTGTCATTTGAGGCACAGTTGGCTTGCTGAAAGGAATTTGAACTGGTAACTTAAAAGTTCTTACAGCCTTATTTTGTGTAGCTTTAAAGAGTTATTGTAAAAGAGTTGTTGCTCAGATCACTGACTGACTGATCCTGTGATAATCCAGTGGTACAAAATTTCCAACAGTTACTGTGAAGAAAGATTGAGATTGTATTGGGGGAAAGGGGGAACTAAGGGCAGAGCAGTGCATTGCGAGTAGAGAGAAGGCAGCTTGCAAAGTCTTTGTGGAAGGTGAAATGACAGCTTTGTTTGGAGGAGTATGCTCATTAACAAAGTTGAGTTAAATCCTAGTTTTGTTACTTCTCCTTAGCTAAGATATGAGTGTTATGCTTGCATGTGGATTCATGACAGCTGCATTTTGAGTAATGTGGTTCCTAGGTTTCCTGGCAATGTTTTGAAATTAGGTTTTATGAAAACAATATAATTGTTTAGCATAGCTAAGATGGTTGCATTGCTTGAATTTAGATTTGAAATAGTCTGACTCATGAAAAGTGTTCTTTTTTGTCAGGTTATAAGCAATGCCTTGAAAGTGTGGGGTTTAGAACTAATCCTCTTCAACAGCCCAGAGTACCAGAGACTTGGGATCGATCCTATGTAAGACTCTTTTAACACCTTGGTTTTATTTTACTGTAAAAATACTCTTAATCTATGTTTTAAATCTTTCATTTAAATTGGTGTTTTATGCTCTGTTGCATTTTGATGTTTGCATTGCCCCCTGGCTTTGGTTTGGTTTTTTTTTGTTTTTTTTTTGTTTTTTTTTTTTTTCTTTTTGGGGGTGCATGAGAACATCTGTCCTCTGTGCCTTCCTGATATTTCGGTATCTGTGGCATCACAGATACATGGAGATTTCAGTGATATTGACAACTTCCTGAATGTTATAAAAGCAGTATGAGTATTCTGTAATGTAACATCAATGGTTGTATTACTGAAACTTTATTATATTAAGTTTGAATTAGTGATAGCAAAAACATTATTATGTACTCTGATTTTAGAGTATTTAATTTTATTTATATCTTTTGTTTTTCTTTTTACAGAAATGAAAAATCATTTATTTGTAATTATAAGGAACACTGGTTTACAGTTCGAAAGTTAGGAAAACAGGTGACACTGTCTTTTTTATTTTAAAATTGACTTCAGAAATGGGTGTGGAAAAGTGGTTGCATGTAGATTGTGCTTCCCTTTTGCAAGCTTTTGCTGCAGTTTGGTTTAATAGTATCCCATATTAAAAAAAAAGGTAAATGTTTGTTTTATCACAAAAATACCAGGCAGGTCATTGTAAGTGTTAGCCTGGGAAAAGACTAGGATCAATTCCCTAGTGAATCTGTCCTTTCAGGAGCTACACCTCTGGTAGGGTCTTATGTGACTTCTTAAGTTATTTTCTTTTCTTTGTCTGCGTGAAATACTGAAGAAAAGTTATGCTGGGGGGTCAGAGGGAGTAGGGAATCCTGAACAAAGATTGGGATCCCTACAGAATTCAAGCTGATTTTAATCCAGTAAGATATTGGCGTTGTAAAATAATTTTGTTTATTTAAATGGGCAGTAGATATGAGAAGTTTTGGACGTATAATAATGGATACTCAAAAGAGTATCAATTAGAATGTGGTTTGGGGAAGTAGAATCTCAACTTTATACTGTTATAGAAAACTTTGAAACAATTGTATTCTAAGCAGGAAATAGTTATTAAAGGCAAGAGATGGTCATATTAGTATATGTTACATATGTACCAGCTCAGTTCATATCCATGTCCCTTAAAAAACCAATTCAGTGTTTTATTTCAGCAGCCAATCATTTTTCTGGATCATGCTTGTGTACTTGCAGCACATGTTGTATAAAGGCTTATGAGCTTTTATGCAACATGAGCTGATTTAGTGTTTGGTTTTTTCAGGGCTTTTTTCATAGAAAACATTCATGGAAAACAGCTTTTAGAGTCTGTAATAGTGGGAAAGGAATCTGTTTGCCCATTTGGCTCCTTTTTGCAAGTTCTGGCTACTTATGTTGTTATCCAGGTTTAAAAAAATAAAAATCTCTTGCGAGTGAGAACTAAACTCTACTGTTCTGCTTTAGTTTAAAAGTATGTTTACAGGCATTTTTTGTTTATATCTGATATCAAAAAGACTGGATGTTGTCTTAAAATTATGCTTATTATGCAATGAAACCATGTTGGGTGGAATTTTATGAGAGGGCATTCTAACCCAAGACATCCTAAGCTGGAGGGGGGATGCCTTTTTCCTCTTTTACCTGTGCTTGTAACCTCATGAGGACAGTACTAGGTGTCTAGAGGGTAATGAGAAGATTTGACAAAATAGGTTGCTTCTCCTCTGTTACAGTTAAAGCAAAATTAGTTTAACAAGATTTTCTCCTCCATAGTGTCTTTTAAAGTTTGCTGTAGTTTGTCCATCAATTTTTTTACAGAACTTTTTATTCTCCCACTCTTCTTCACTGTTGGTCTTTTTACCCTTTCCTAGTGGCAAGGAGTGTTTTTGGCAAATGAAGTAATTGCATGATGGGTGGTAGATAGTTACTTACATTGTTGTATGGGTCTGGTTGCAAGTCTGTGGTGCATATATGGAAGTTTGGGTAGATCTCTGGTGCATTTCTGTGAGAAGGGAGATAAAATTCTCCTTCCACAAAGTCAAATGGTGCTTTCTGGTTAAAACTGCATCATACTGAATGAGTAGGTCTAAAAAAAAGTTCTTTAGCTTCATTGGAATATATGTGGGGGTTTAAAGGTAGACTATTTTGTTTCACGTTGAGTATATTTTCTCTCTAGAAGTTTTATGTAAGTATAATACTGCTTCTGTTTAGAAGTATTATAAATTACTAGTTATGGTCTTGGGTAACTAGAAGTGAGTTGTATATATTTATATTGTTTCTCCTGTTGTAATATAAGAGTGCTGTACTCTTAGCATACTAAATTTGAGTAAACTTCTTTCTAATTTTTAAGTTTAAAAATTATCTGAGAGAAGGGTGAACACTTGTTTGCAGCATCACCAGTTATTAATGGTGGAATGTTCCATGAAAGTATTTAATGCAAATAATCGATAATGCAAATAATCTGTTTCCTGTAACTATTAATTTCTTAACACATAGCATTAACTGATGAAGGGTTTCTTACTACATTACCCTCAGGTTTAAAACTAGGAGAATTAAGCAGAATTTTAGAATGATGTCTGAAATAAATCAAAATACAATGGTTAAAGATTATCTGTTTTAATGTGTTTCCCTGGTACCAGTATTCAGTAATGGGAGAGAGCATGCAGTAATTTCCACACTTCAGATGTCCTGTTAGACTATTTGAAGAATAATGTTTAGCAGTGTAGGTATTATGCTTCAAAAAACTTTTATTTGATAATTTATTTTACTAGATTTATTTGGATATTCCATAATAAAACATTACCACAATGTACAGGAATGGATTACCAAGTAATCTTCATGCTAATTTGTTCTCTCAACCTTTTTTTTTTCTTAATTACAGTGGTTTAACTTGAACTCTCTCTTGATGGGTCCAGAACTAATATCAGATACATATCTTGCACTTTTCTTGGCTCAATTACAACAGGAAGGTAATAGTAACTTGCAGATGTTAAATCTCATTAATTAAAAGTAGGTAATAATCATTATTTCTTAGAACTTACATATTCAGTTAACTACCCTTAGTTTTACGATTCAAATAACCCAAGTCCTTATTATAAAAGGTAGAGTCTTACATCTTAAATTGCACATTATTGTATTCCATATAGTGTGCATTTTAGAGTGTTTGTATCTGCAATTTAATGCTGTAGACTTACAATTTCTTGTTTCAGGTTATTCCATATTTGTAGTAAAAGGTGACCTGCCAGACTGTGAGGCTGATCAGCTGCTGCAGATGATTCGGGTACAGCAAATGCAGCGACCAAAATTGATTGGCGAAGAGGCAGCACAGTCAAGAGATCAGAGGTAAGGTAAATAAAGATTTAATTTTGATGATGTTCAGTATGATTGGTTTATAATTTGGAAGTAATAAGAAGTACCTTTAGTTCAATGTTTATGGCTGTTGCACACAGTAAAAGCAGGTTGATGGACAACAAATGGTGTATTTTTAAGTGGGCAAAAGCTGGCTTGAGAAGGATTGAGTCTTTCCATGTGCATAAGCATATTATAGTGCAGATTTTTGACTCAGGGAGGAAAATAATTTAGAAAATCTCAAACTATGGTTAATAGTAATTATTTTATAATTAAGACTGGTTTGTGTATTTTGTCATAAGTAGAAAAGAACGAGAAACTGATCTTTGAATTCCATATCATATAAATCATACAGCATTCTGTTTTAGAATAATTTTGCTATAACGTTTTGGTGCTGCTCATTTTTGATGGATTCTGCTAATATAAAACATCCTTGAAAGCATATAAAGTTAGTACTTTATGCACTTCTGCAATGATTTCACGGAATTTTCAAAGTGAACAAATTGCATACTGATAAAAAGGCTTTAGGTTTCTCAGAGGAATTCATTACTTTTTTCCGCTTGGTAAAGTTAAACTGATGTTGTAAATTGATGGAATAATTAGCAGTAACATGGGAAGTGTGTACAGTTTGCATGGGTTCTGTTGCTTTAGTGTGGCCTTCAAGGCCTCCTTGAGAAGGAGACTGCACTTTTTTCTGTTGGTGTAACTGTTTAAATAGCAGTAGGTTTGAATAACATGTATCACGGCTTTTTGTGGGCTTATCGTTTTTGATGATTTACTAACTAATAGCTTGTCAACATATGCATTGGTTTAGAGGTCACTGTGTGGCAAATATATGTTAACGTTGCTCTGCAGTTTTGCACTTTTTTCTGTTGGTGCAACTGTTTAAATAGCAGTAGGTTTGAATAACATGTATCACGGCTTTTTGTGGGCTTATAGTTTTTGATGATTTACTAACTAATAGCTTGTCAACATATGCATTGGTTTAGAGGTCACTGTGTGGCAAATATATGTTAACGTTGCTCTGCAGTTGCTTGCAGCCCTTTTGTGCTTTTTCATTTTTCAGGAAAATACTTGTTTATGTAACAGGCTTTCACAAGAAAAATGTTTTTCCCAAAGTTAAACCTAGAGTTAAATTGGCAGAACATACTAATTTAAACCTCATGATAAAATCTAATATAATTTCTGTCTGAATTTTGTTATGAATGTATGAATTTCACAGGCTACCCAGAAGTGACGTGGACCAAGCAATAGAAGTTAACCATCCCTTTGACGGAACAGGCATGTTAGATGAAGATGAAGAGAATTTTCAGAGAGCCCTGGCTCTAAGTAGGCAGGAAATTGATATGGAGGATGAAGAAGCTGATCTTCGCAGAGCCATTCAGCTCAGCATGCAAGGTGCAGTGCTTATCTGAATTTCTTGCAGTGCTTTAAGCAGCTCCTGGAATCAGTTTGTCTGGCAATTTTTCCAGCATGTGTCAATATCTCTGGAAAGTCTGGTTTGAGGCATGGAAGGACAATCCAGGATTGTGCATAACTATCCCGGTCCTGCTTTTTGAAAAGTTGTAACTTGCATGTTGTTGTTGATTATTAGGAAAGAAGAACAAATTTGCAAAGGGTAGCGGGAGGAAAGGGAGACAGTCGTAAGGTGAGGAGAAGAGAAATTATCAAGCGAAGTTCTTCTAGGTGCTTAGATTGCCAAAAAGTCTTACTTCTCAAGTTTGAGGATATGTTTTAAGTTATATTTTATTTGCTAATTTCATTTTACTATAATTAGTAGGATATGGCATGTTCTGCTTTTAGGTAGCCGTCGAAGTGAACTCTCAGGCTCATTACCACAGAATGTGCCTCAGTCATCTCACAGCAGTCAGACAGACTCCCTTTCTTCAGAAGAACTGCGAAGGAGAAGACAAGCCTATTTTGAAAAGTAAAGTAGTTGATAGAAAACAGCATGTGGAAGTACATGTATTTCTCAGTGCTTTTGGGGTGTGGATGGGCTTCTTACTGAGGTCCAGCTCAACTCTTCTGTCTTAATATGGCTTCCTAACAGTACCTGAATTTTACTATTCTCTGGTGGTTCATACACAGAAACCTCTAGTAAGAGGGAGGGTGTTTGTTAATAAGTCTTGCTAATACTGCAAAATAGTCTTGCTACTACTGCAAGTCTTGTGAAGAAAGAAAACATTTCTTATAAAAGTACTTTTAATGAAATCCTGTAAATTTCTGCAACTACCTTCCCAACAAAAAGTATTATTTCTCTAAGACTTTGCTTTTGGGTAAGTACATGCTTCTCATGTGCATCACATAAAAGCATTGTACACATTTTATGGTACTGTTCTGGTGTACCTTCTTAATAGATAGCTGAGCTATTGTAGCTTTTCCTTATCTGTCTCTTACAGTAATAAAGGAAATAAAGACCAGGGAGAAATGCTATGGATGGGAGGAGTTAGACTTCACATGGTAGGATAAGAATGCAGAGCTTCCAAATCCTGGGAAAATAGTCTTGTGGCTTGGAATATAACACTGGGAAGATACCTATCTGAAGGTTAGCAGGGTGAAATGATAAAAGAGATTTTGGGCACAGGGGTGTTGTACTAAGCAGCTTCTACTTTTGACTCCTGGCCTTCCTTACAATGAAATGAACTTGATTCACATCTCATACTGATGTTAATCTTATTCTCTTACAAATTTATGACACTTTCAGACAGCAACAACAGCTACAGCAGCAAGATCAGACTCCAAACCTAAAGGACAAAGCACCTCTTAGTTCAAGCACTGCAGAACCTGGTGCAGGTATTGTTTTTTAATCTTACATTCAGCACAGCAATGTGTCTTTTTCATCTTTGTGTTGTTTATTAATTTTCCTTGTCTGCCTATTTTGTCACTTCAGCAGCCATTCCAATGGTGTATTACAGCCATTACTGTATTGGCAGTGAAGGAAATTATGACTTTCCTGAAAAGCCTGTTTCCCTTTGAATGTCAATATCCTATTTCAAAGTGAAGAGCATTGCTATTACCCCAACTGTTTGTTTTCTAAATTACTTATAAAGTTGATTGACAACTTGGAATAGCATCTGACAAAGTTACTGGAACCAGTTTTTAGAAGACCATGTGTAGACCTCACCAGTGTCAGGTATTGGTGATCCGAAACTGGTGTATATTGTTGCAAACTGACTGTTGTTGGTGAAAAACTATTTGCAAAATGTTTAGTGATTTTTAAAAACAAAACCAGTTTTGTCAGTGGGGTAGGAAAAGGTGGCTGTGGATGAAAGGAACAACAAATGCATTTAACTATAGTTAAGAACTGTGAATTTATTACAGCTTGTGTGCATGTATTGTCTTTAGGAGGTGATATGAGTGAAGAAGACATGCTTCAAGCAGCCATGAATATGTCTCTGGAGTCTGTCAGAAACCACTTGAATTCAGAAGAGGAGAAATAACATCATTTTTTTCCATCTTATTGTCAAAACGTTAAGTCTCAATTAAAATTCTACTGTGTGGATGTTGCACAAGCAGGGTTCATTTCAGAGCTGTGGAAGCAAGAATGAAAGGGGGGCTGCTGGAGGTCAGTTTAGAGAGGATCTGCAAATACAAAAAAGATTGCACTAATTTAGAGAACTGTAGCACTCCTACAAAACATCTGCTCACAAGAGTAGTGGTGTTAAAATTATTGGAACCATTCACGCAAAGTTAGACAAGGGTAGCAGCTGTAACTTTAAAAAGTAAAGCTTTTAAAGCTTGCATTAAAAAAGCAAGTTTCAACTGTTCTGAAGAATTCTATAGAAGATACAAATAGTGCTGAAAACACCATCAAATTATTTTCTTCAGTACTGATGGGAAAAACAGATACAAGTAATCAGTTATGCTCATAAATTATTTTTAATAGAACACTCTAAATTGGGGAGAGTAATTAAATTCCATTAATCTTAAATAATTTATTTTTGATTGTTTATTATGAATGATTTAATGTCAACTTTTGATCCTGCTGTCCACTTTTGAAATGATCCATTCTGCAGGAGAAACAAGAACCTGTAAATTTCATACTTTTCAATTCAAGACAAAATTTTATTGTTGACTATAATGTTACTCTTGAGTCTTTCAGTGATTTCTGACTTTCTAACAATTTTTGGTTTTACTTTCAATTCCAGTTGTAAAATTTTAGATCCATGTTTAACATACTGTCTCTTAGCAGATAACTTGCCTTATTTGGCTTGGGGTTTTGTTGTTCTTGTTTGGTTTTAATTATTGTTTTCTTATTTTCTTTCTCGTTAGAGCCATTTCCTTTTTACTACAAAAGCAGCATATACTCAATTGGGTTGAACAGGTTTTCTTTTCTACCTCTTCCAGAGAATTTTTCTCTTCAAGCTCGACCCTTTATTCTGGCCTTTCAAAGTATGAAAGAGCTGTAACTGAGTCTAGGAGAAAGTAGGAGGGGATTTAGGTGCCATAAAGTCAGTGCCACACACATAAGATGCACTCCTGCAATCTGAAATGACCCCTGTGCAAGTAGCTCTTTTAAGAATGAATATTTATGCCTGTGTGGATGTTCTTTCTGAAATGCTTTCTATGAGTGTCTGTCAGAATGTTGCAGTTTTTTCAGGAATGGCCTTTATTCACGCACCTTACAATTTTTTATTACGTTGTTTCTGATCCTGAGAAAAATTGGGAAGCAAAGTATGTGAGATAGCTTATGCTATTGGTTGTAAGACATTTGCTTTGATATCCAGGATGAATGTGTAACAGGGTGACCAAACCTGACTTTGAACTTCAGTGCAACAAAAGAGAGATGTTTCATTTTCTTAAATGGTGCTTGAAATACAAATTCTGTTTACATATAAATTATATGGAAATATGTTGTAGATAGAGTATATAAGCTGTAGTCCAGTTAAAGCATTAACAGTTAGCACAGGCATTCTAAGAATCTTTCAAAGATAACCCCAAATTTCTTTATCAAAATATTCTAAAGTTACATCTTTGCACAATAGTAACATTTAATTAAAATTAGTAAGAAATGAATGGTAGCTAGATGGAAATACACATTCAGCATCAAGTAGTACTGTACATGAAAGGGCTCTTACCTCTCAGTAAAGATTTGTTTACAGCCATGGTTTCCTGATAGCTTGGGGTATTGTTATAGTATACATAATCGGGCTAAATTCTGTTTTTCTTATCTATGTGCTGCATTTTCACCAATGTCACCACAACCACTAGTATGTGTTACACAATATGGATTTTGACATGAGACAGCACTACTTTTTAAAAACTGATTTTTGTATTTTTAAAGTAATCCTGTCATCCACATTATAATTATTTGCAATGTCTCAAATTAATATAGCTAAACAATTACTTTACAAGTCCATGTATGCATATGCCATTTTGAAATGCTGTATTTTTCAGGGTGTGATTTTCTGCTTTCAGTTTGAAATTTCTATGCAACTGAAAGCAAGAAAGGTGTCTAAAGCACTGATTTTTTTTTCTCATCTGTCAATTAACCACAGCTTAGCTTTCCTTTCTTGGTTGTGCCATAAACTAATTCTGAAATAAGACTAATTTTTATGATAGGTGTAGACTGGCAAGCTGATGCCAGTACCTGGAACTCAGACCTTTTATCCTCTCTTATCAGAACATAATAAAAATATTATTTCTAGCTCTAGCAGCCCTATATTAAAAAAAAAAAAAAAAATCAGCCCCTTAAATCTCACTGACTGTAACCCAAGCCAACTACCTGGTTTTATAATCACTAAAACATGGAGGTTTGCCTTTGAACTTTCATGTCACACCATAAGTCACTTCATCACCCCAGTATTTTAATATGGAAGAAATATAAAATGTCAGTGCCTGAAAGGCGCAGCTGAGTCAGTGATCACAGGGCCAACTATTTCCCTTTCTATGGAGAAATGCTGTCACTCAACAAATACCAGTTTGATTTTTAGAGAAATGTCAAGTTGAATGATGTAGGCGTATCTATCTAGACAAGCAGTTACGAGAGGGCAATTTAAGCTACATCGCTTAATTCACGTAATCCTGTCACTGAAAAAGGGCTGCTAGAAACCATCCATTAATCCAGCCCAGTCCACCACTGATTGTAATGTTCCTAAGCACCACAGCTACACCTCTTTTAAATAGCTTCAGGGAGGGGGCTCAACCACTTGCCTGGGCAACCTGTTCCAATGGTGGACAATTTTTTCAGGGAATACTTCCTGATACCCAAACTGAACCTCCCCTGGTACAAACTGAGGCCATTTCCTCTCATCTTCTCACTTGTTGTCTGGGAGATGCGGCTGACACCCACCATGCTACAACCTCCTTTCAGGACTTGTAGGGAGTGACAGGGTCTCTATTTGAACTGTACCCAAGAAAAAAACTCATAATAATTGCTGACAGTACATATTTTATAAGCCAGGTCTCAAGTTCAAAATGTCTGGACCTGACAAGAAACTGTCAATAAAACACTGCTGTCATTTTTTGGTGTTCATTCTTTCAGTTATAAACAGTTATCAGTGTGACTTAACTATGCTTCTAATTTACTAATTTAGAGTGTACTTCTGGTGTTACCTGCCCTGTCAGGCTGAAGGGTTGGGTTTTTTCCCATGTAACAGCTTTAGGCCAAAGTCCGTTGTAAGGGAGCAGACATTGGTTTTTATTGGTGGGTTTTGGGTTTTTTTTAATTATAGAATTATATTTGATGGAATTTCAGCCTTCGTTCATTCAACAGATTTTACTGTTTTCCAGTGAACGGTCCATGTGACATAAATTGTGGTTTTGTGCCAGTAGAAATAAAAGGGGCAGGGGGAGTGAGTGATACAATAAATATCTTCCATAATTACTTCTCTAAGTATAATTCTGCAAACTGCTTTCATGGTCTTACGGTGAAGGCAGGAGGAACAAGAGTTGTAATGCAGTCGTGCTTGCATGCAATTCTTGTTAGGCACAGCAAGTACAAATATGAGCTGTTTAAATGCTTACATTTTTCTAGACCTGAAATGAATATGATACCATACTGGCTTACTTTAAGATTTGGGCTTCCTGTGCCTTTCAAAGAACTGAAGCAAATTTAAGTGTAGTTTTCAGCTAAGGTACTCTTCTGACTTGTCATACTTTTATTACTTTACAGACTACTTGAAAATAACCAGTACAAATCTAAATCTATGATGTGTTTTCATGTTGGACTATTGCTTCTATTACAAACTTACAGAATGGTGGGCGGGGGGGGTTAAAATGGCTTCTGCAGGTGTCTAGTAGACAAATATTATCATTTGCAAGCTGTTTTGTCTTATTACAAAACTGACTGGCTTAAAAATTAACATGTTACAGTTTTAAATGTGAAATTTTCTAATATTAATTATTGATTCAAATAATAATGAAAACATAAAAATGGTGGCCTTTGTACAGAAAAATACAGTATAGGGGAATAGGATCAGAGAATTAGAACTCAGACTTACAAAGAAGTATTATTTTGCAATTCACGTTACCAGCACTTCACTTTTGAAGGAATTGAAATCAGAATCCAAGGAAGAGAATAACTGATGTGGAAGCTTTTTTTAAGGGCTTAGATAGAAAATTATGTTGTTTGCTTGGTAAGCCATTACTGTCTTGCATAGAACAAACTTAAGTCCTGGAATATCTTGATAATTATTCACAAATCATTACAGAAAAGAAAGGAAAATATGTCCAACATGTAATAAATACATACCTCTTCCACATACACAGTCACTTATTCAAGTGAGAACAATACTTAATACATTCAAACTGGCTGGGTCCAAATGCTTACTTCTTCAGTTTTGAATTGGTAGCTTTGTCTTGTATCCGGGTTTTCATCTTAAAAGCATGAGCTCTTCTGCAATAATTTTTTTAATCCTCATACACACATTTTGCCTTATTTGCATTTCAGAGATGGAGGGAATGCTGGAGTATTTAACCTGCCATAGTCACCTTTTTCCTCAGTTACAGTTCTTGAGCCAGTTAGTACATGTGACTTTTCAACTGCTTTCATCAAATCAAAATACTTATATATTATTTTCTTTGTTAAGAAAAATAATTATAACTACACATTTCTTTTAATCTCCCTTCAACCTCAGTACAGACACTGTGTGAATTCAGGAAGGAACTTCAGGAGGGAAAAAAGGGATGTAATACTTAAATGCCACTGTGCAAAATCAAAATGGGAAAAAAAAAAAAAAGAAAATAGAAACCTTTTTTTTTTTTTTTTTTGCTACACGAAACCCCCTGTGTACAAATCATTGTAGAGTTAGGATTTTGTAAGGGAATAATTTTTCATCTCTTACCTAATAGTTGTATATTTTAGAAATCATTTTCAGTAAGATTTTTTTGTCAAGACTGTTTTCATATCACATCTTTGGCTCTGGATTCCTGTATAATTTTTGCCTATTTTGTGTATATAAAGCATAGAATACTGAAAAGATTTAAAAAGGGAAAGCTGAAATGCTTTGTCATTGTTTTGACTGGAAAATGGCAGCACTGTTCGATATTTTGAAAATGCTCTCCAAATAGGCATGAATATATATGGTTGTATTTGATATCACTTTTTTTAATAAATATGATTATAGCTTCTAATGTTTCTCTCTTAAGTATTTGCATATGTGCTTTCCCTTACGTGTGGATTGGGCACAGA